AATACCAGACTAACTAAAGGAAGTGGCGAGAAGCGATGGTTACAGAAAACATAGTCTTTTTATGAAAGGGGCTAGCTTCATCAAACTAACACGAGGAAGACCCTTACAGGATTATGTCAAGCGTTTCAAATCCAAAATCACAGATGAACAGCAAGCCTTCAAAGGCTACGCCAATACATATTCGGTTAGTGATATAAGATTGAAAGGAATGAAAGGCTTATCATACTTAAAATATCAGAAGCAACGAATGGTAGAATTCCTTAACAGAAACCCAAATATGAAAATCATTGTTGAAGTGGATTTGTCGTTAAAGAACACTGACAACGAAGAGATACGACGAAGGCTGACAAGTAGGAGATACAATGTCCATAACCCTGAAGAGATAAACAGTGTTTTAAACAACATAGCCCACGACATAGAGGTTCAAATTGAGATAGCCGAATTCATTCAATCCGGTCTTGTTCTTCTTAAAGTTGGAAGGTTGGTGATAAGTTATGACAAATACAATCCTACCCGTGGCTCTTCTTATATTCCATTGCCCGACTGGGTAGCGAACAAAAGGGCTTGTATCAATATTAAAAACGATGATGAGTTGTGTTTCAAATATTCTGTTCAATGTGGTTTTTACGAGCTATACAAAAAAGACCATCCCTGTGATATGTATCATTATAAAAAGTATGTTGATGACCCGACGAAGGAAGGCACCAAAGGTGACAAGTCTATTAAATGGGACAATATAAACTTTCCTGTAGGCAATGATGAGATTGAACAATTTGAAGAACAGAACAAACACATATCGGTCAATGTTTATTACATCAATCCTGATGCCAATAGTAAAACAACTTTATTATACAAAAGAAGCAACAACCCCCAAGCACAACGAAAGATTGATTTAATAAAGCTGACTGGAGACAATGCCAACTCGCACTATGTCTACATCAAGAACTATAACAAGTTGATGGGAAGCCAAACCAACAAAACAAATAGGAAAAAACATCATTGTAGGACGTGCTCACACGGTTTCAAGTCAGAATAGTTATTAAAACAACACGAACAACAGGGTTGTCTAGCGGTTGAAGGACAACAAATAGAAATGCCAGAGGTAGGAGCTACCATTGAATTTAAGAACCATTTTAAGAAACTGAAAGCACCTTATGTAATATATGCCGACTTTGAATGTTTAACAGTGCCCATTGATGTTAAAAGCAAATCGACAAAAGCGACAACAACATCGTATCAAAATCATCGCCCTTGTGGTTTTATGATTAATGTAGTCAATGCCATCACTGGAAGCAGTGAGCCCTATTTATACAGAGGCGAAGATTGTATGGATAAGTTCGTTGAGAAAATGAATGAAGTCAGACAGGATGTCATAAAGAAAATGAAGGAAGTGAAAGAGAAAATCATGACTGAGGACGATAAAACAGATTTTGACACTGCCACTAAGTGTTTCGTTTGTGGAAAGGGCTTTCAGGAAGGAGATAAGAAGGTTCGTGACCATTGCCATTTTACTGGTAAATATAGAGGTTGTGCTCATGATGATTGTAATCTTGCTTTTAGTATGAGATATTATAAAATACCAGTCTTCCTTCATAACCTTAAAAACTATGACGCTCACTTAATCATCAACAAGGCACACGAACTGAGCAAGAATGCTAAAATCGATTGCATCGCACAGAACAGCGAGAAGTTCATAACCTTTGGTTTTAAAAACCTTTGTTTCAAGGACAGTTTTAGCTTCTTATCGTCTTCGTTGGATAAGTTGGTAAAGTTGAGTAAGTATGAAGATGATAAAAGGCGTGAGAACTGGAAGAACAATTTTAGATACAGTGTTAGAAATCCATATGTTAAAACCGATGAAGATTTGGACTTGTTGACTGACAAGGGGATTTATCCTTATGACTAGTTTGATAGTTTTGACAGATTTACTGAAAGAAACTTACCGCCAAAAGAAGCGTTCTACAGTAAATTAAGTGAGGAACATGTCAACGACAAAGATTATGAAAGGGCACAAAAGGTTTGGAAACACTTCGGTATCAGAACATTAGGACAATATCACGATTTGTATTTGAGAACCGATGTTTTATTATTGACTGATGTTTTTGACAACTTTAGAGACTTATGTATGGAATACTACGGTTTGGACCCCGCACACTATTATACACTTCCTAACTTCGCTTGGGAAGCTATGTTGTTGAAAACAGGTGTTGAAATTGAACAGTTACACGATAAAGAAATGTATGAGATGGTTGAACAGGGAATGAGAGGAGGTATGTGTCAGGTCAGTCATAAACTGGCTGTGGCTAACAATAAGTATATGGATGAAGCCTTTGATGAAAGTAAACCGTCAAGTTATATCAATTACTTAGATGCTAACAATCTGTATGGTCTGGCGATGTCTCAAAAATTGCCTTTAAAGAACATCAAATGGACAAAGAAAACACCTAACATTGAAAAGTGGGATGAAAAAGATGAGTATGGTTTCATCCTTGAAGTGGATTTGGAATATCCAGAAACACTACATGACTACCATTCGGACTATCCACTAGCACCGGAAATAATGAATGTCAATGCTAATATGTTGTCAGACTATCAAAAGGAAATCTACAAAATCTACTATGGAAACAAAGAACCGAAGGACGAGAAAACCAGCAAGTTAATATTAAATTTGAAAGATAAAGAAAAATATGTTGTTCATATCAAGACTTTACAGTATTATCTAAAAATGGATATGAAACTCACCAAGGTTCATAGGATAATAAAATTTCAACAGAGGGCTTGGTTGAAACCGTGGATTGACTTCAACACTGGTAAGAGGAAAGAAGCGAAGAGCGACTTTGAGAAGGATTTGTTTAAATTAATGAATAACGCGGTGTATGGAAAAACTATGGAAGACAAGAGAAAGCATATGGATTTCGAATTGGTAGATAATGATGTTAGATATGAAAAGTGTGTGAATAATCCTACATTCAAAAAAAATATCATTAATTAAAATATGGTAGGAGTGGAAAAAACAAAGTCGGTTTTGAAACTTGATAAACCCATATTCTTAGGAATGACAATGTTGGATTTGAGTAAATTACATATGTATGAGTTTTACTATGGTGTGTTGAAAAAGAAATACAACGAAAACATCAAATTGATATATACAGATACTGACAGCTATGTAATCCAAACCTTCACTGATGATGTCTACAAGGATTTTCAAGGTATCAAGCAACATATGGATTTTAGCGATTATCCTGTTGAACATCCGTGCCATGACACAACAAATAAGAAGGTCTTAGGAATGTACAAAGATGAAGTCAACGGAAAAATCATTACTAGATTTATCGGGTTGAAACCTAAATCCTATGCTTTCACAATCCACGGCGAGAATGAGGAACACAGGAAATCCAAAGGCGTCGTCAAGCACAAGGTGAAGAAGGAACTGACCTATCAGAACTACCACGAAGCACTGCATCACAACAAAAAACACGAAATAACATATAATTTTATTAGGAGTAAATCTCATCAAATATATTCAATGTCTCAAGTAAAACAATCACTCAGTAATTATGAGAATTTAATATATTATTATGATACTTTTACTTCATTACTATATGGTCATCACAAACTGTGTTAAAGAGAAGATACATTATGTTATTTATGGAGAGCAGTAAATATAGAAATGCGGCGAAGATTTACCAAGTAACAGATATTGGTTATAACAAATGCTACATTGGAAGCACCTGTGAAAACTTAAGTCAAAGAATTGCAAGACATAGGCAAAATCATAAGAAAGCAGAGGAATGGAACACTAAAACAACTTGTGGCTTATTGTTTGATGAGTATGGAGTGGAAAACTGTAAGACTGAATTAATAGAAAACTACCCCGTGTGAAAGTCGAGAAGAATTACTTAAAAGAGAAGGTTATTACATTAAAAATACTGACTGGTTTAATAGATGTGTTGCTGCAAGAACTTTTAATGAGTGGAAAGAGGATAATAAAGAACATTACCAACATATGAGGAAGGAATACTCTGAAAAGAACAAAGAACATATATGTGACAAAAGTAGGGAGCATTACCACCAAAACAAAGAAACAATACTAGAAAAAAGAAAATAAATTATTGAATGTGGCGGTGTTTTCAGGAAATGTGATATAAGAAGGCACGAGCGAAGCGACAAACACCGGCGATATGTAAATAAACATATTCATATCTAAATAGTTCTATTAATATGAAATTATTAGAATTATTTTCAGGGACAGGTTCGGTTGGTATGGTTGTTTTGGTTGGGTGGGTTGTTTGGGTTGGGGTTGGGGCTCAAACTTGAAATGTGGGTTTGGGGATGAGATTGAAACTGAAAACATTGAAGTTTATATGTTGGTTGGTTTTGAGGGAGTTGAAAAATGGTGGGTTTTGCCCTTGTTTTGATGGGAATGTGTTTGTTGAGATTTACGGGGTTGGTGAGAAGGGAGCCTTCAAAATGGGTTTGGGCTTAAACATTGAAACAAAAAAATGGTGAGAGTTTAACCTTACACAACGGTTTAGGTTTGTAAGAGAAACCACCTGACCCACCCGACCCAAAAGACCTTGAAGAAGAGGAGGGTGGTGTCTTCTGACATACAAGGCGCACGCAGTGGGGTTCAGGGTTGGGGTTTTGTGAGTTGCTGTGGTTTTTGGGCGTGGGTTGGGTTGGGGTCGTTGGGTTGCTAGGGTTGTTGTGAGGGGCGAGGGAATTTGCATTGCAAGTTCTTAAGGGGTGGATTGGTAATGACACTCCCACAAAGTTTAGTTTAAGCAGTGGCTCACACTACTCCTGAAATCTTTGTTTTCAACCCCTGACCCACAACCCTAAAAACTCAACCCTTCTCCACTTGAGCCTTCAAAGTGTCTTGTTTGAACCCTCCCTGTAACAGTAACACACAAAAGCCCCAAAACCACAAAACCCTCCCAGCCCACCCACAGCCCAAAACCTAGAACCCGTCAGCGTTGAAGACGATGAAGGGCATGACTTCACAACCTCAGCGAAAAGCAGATGCGGGAACTACTAAAAATGGGGTGGGTTTGGAAGGTTCTGTTCCCCTGTCCCCTGCCTTGGGGTTCGCTGTTCCCCTACTTTGGGGTTCGCTGTTCCCCTACTTTGGGGTTCGATGTTCCCCTACTTTGGGGTTCGCTGTTCCCCTACTTTGGGGCTCCCTGTTCCCCTACTTTGGGGCTCCCTGTTCCCCTACTTTGGGGTTCGCTGTTCTCCTACTTTGGGGCTCCCTGTTCCCCTACTTTGGGGTTCCCTGTTCCCCTACTTTGGGGCTCCCTGTTCCCCTACTTTGGGGCTCCCTGTTCCCCTGCCTTGGGGAACAATGTTCCCCTGTTCCCCTGCCTTGGGGAACAATGTTCCCCTGTTCCCCTGCCTTGGGGAACATGTTCCCCTGTTCCCCTGCCTTGAGGAACGGGGGGTCATGCCGTGGGAAATGGTGCTCTGATGTTCCCCTGATTGTAGACACCCCATTCCAAATTTGGGGAACAATTTGGCGATCGTAATCCATTGCAAACTCGTCCGCCGATCTGCTGTTTGCTCCCTTGACACTTGAGTCCTACGCGGATATGACTGATACTCACTTTGGGTCTTGGTCCTTGTTGGGGCAGTCAGAGGAGTATCAGGACGCAAAGATGGCCACATGTTTTCTCGCTACGCATTTGTTTATCCACATCTCAGCTCCTTATGAAGACTGCACCGGCGTCATAGCAAAGAGTTGCGCCCACTGCGGGCGTCAACCTCTCCAAAACCAGATTGCGCCATTTCTGCACTAGGGTCTCACAATTCGCCACTACTCAATGGGGAACTCCAACGCTGGATTTGCAGCAGGATGTTGTAGATGATGAGGAGGAAAATGGCAAAGTCACGGAGGCGAAACTCTCGTTGAACTTCTTGTCTAACTTCTTGTCTAACTTCTTGTCTAACTTCTTGTTGAACTTCTTGTCTAACCTGCTGAACTTGTTGTTGAACCTGACGAATGTTCAAGGTGTGAGGAACGTAGACTAAGCTAAAGAAACCCTGCGCATACTTCCTCTTGAGAAATGGATAATGCTGAATCGCATTGACCCACTCTTCTGCGCACTCAATGGGCAGCTTATTCACCACCATTGCTACGGCAGGTACGGAGCGCCCAGCCTCAGCCGCCAGCGTTAGAAACCGTTCCAGCTGGTGACACTTCATGAAGAACAAGGCTGCAACCACCGTACATTCCACAACTGTGCCTTCTGGAACAACCCGATTGCCGAATAGCAATTGCGAATTCTCACCCAGTGACTGTAAAAGGTCTCGCTCTGCATTCACTACGACGTCCGTGACAGCAGTTGCCTCTGCTGGTGTGTCGTTGGCTGTTGTGCTCGAATACAGTTTTGTCCACAACCCGCCCAAGCTTTCTGCTGATGCCCTCTCAGATTGGCGCTTCAACTCGTTGAGCGCCTCACATGCATCTTGACTGAGGTGGGCTGTGATGGTCGCTTCGGATTGCTGAAGCTGGCTTCCCGAAAGCCTCTCCCGCACAAACTTCTCATAGTCATTTGCGGAAATCCGTCCTGGAATGCTGCTGGCGTCTGACCATTTGCCACCACCGCGCGGGCGCACTTTCGGCCACGGTAGCATGGCAAGACTTGAGACAAAGGTTGTGACTGTAAGTGGGATGCTTGGCAATGTCCAACAGCTAAGAGCATCTGCGCATCGAGTTCTGGAAAGCTCTTGGTAAAGAAGTGGTGAAACTAATGCAGCCAAAGACATGATTCATGACTTGATCCATGAAGCTTCACATGGTTTGGCGGAACGTCCGAGCCAAGGGTCAAACTCTGAATCTGAAGGGGCATAGCCGGTGCGAGAACTGATGTGATTGACCAAGCCTACAATGGTGCCCTGAGAATGAAGCCACCGCAACGGAAGCAACACATGCAGCGCAAAAATGAACAAAGAACAAGCCAAATGAGCCAAGCAATGCCTGAATTGTGCTGAAGCTTGTTGCAAAATCGTTTGGCCTCAAGACCCAGACCTTTAAACAACTTAAAGTCTAACCTCTTTCAATCAATAAAACTAAAAGTTGAAATCGGGAACGAAACAGGGGACCAAATCATCAATTCGTTACCGCATTCATATCGTTATTTCTTGCCCCCAAAATATGCCTTGAAAAAACGAATAAGATAGAACACGTGTTGAATTGTGAAATAAAAAAACAGAACAGGCAACCATCTACCCCCCACCCCCTGAAATCAGCCTTTTCTACATGTTTTTTTTTTTGGGGGGGGGCGAGCATATATATATATATATGTTTATGTATATATATATATGTATAGCACTAAAGCACAGCAAACAAGCAGATGTGAGCAGGGTTCGTGGTGGCACATGTGTTCTGCTTTTGTGTTCTGTTTTGTTCTTGCTGCTTTGTTGTTCTGTTCCAAGTCGCCAATCGGACAATGTCCACGGATCTGGATGGAACTGCCGCAATCTGAGCTGGCGGCTGCTCGCTGACCGGGGCTGCGAAGCTTGTAACCAGGATCCCCTAAGCAGCGACAACCATGCGGACCCAAAACCCCTGCTTTTTCAGCTCCAGTGTGAATCGCCACTCGTGGAAAACTAAGGGACCTACATTTGACTGGTGGCGAGTCCCCCGGCCGAGGAATGCAGCCGTTCACGTCTCTTCAATTCCTCAAAAGTACCCGCAAGCCGCGGCGCCGAGATGAGCGCAAGAACCAGCCGCAAGATGACCAGCAACTCGGCCTAGCGCAAAGCCACAATAACGGGGGGGGGGGGGGGAGTGGGTGGTTGTAGCCCACAACCTGACCCTTTGTAGGAGCACCAAAGAGTCCCAACCTGGGGAACAGCCTGCACGGGCAAGAGAATGACGAGGTGTGAATGCGAGCCTGCTCACCCCAACCATTCGTCAGCATGGCTCCGAAACAGGCCTCAAGACGCAGGCCATGCTTGAGCACAGCTGTGAGATCAAAACTGGCATCTGTGGGCTGCGCATATTCCAGCGAGAACCTCCACGAGGCCAACGTGTGACCTGCATGCGGCAACCATCACAGTTCAAAGATCAGCGCTGCCCTTCGAGAACCCCTCTCCGGCCGCAAGAAAAGTGGTCAGTGCGCGTCTAGGCGGGGAAAAAAAAAAGGCGCAAACGTTGCACCCCTCGGAAAAAGACTCTGCATAACAAGCCTTCATGAACCTCATGGCTTGGACTCCAAAAGGATCCACCAAACTTGCCAAACAGTGGCTCCAGGTCTTCAATCGGATCTGAGAGCCGCGCCAAGCATGAAGTGCTGCGGGCTCACTCCCAACAGGCCCAGCACCTCAAAGATCTCCACCCAAAGTGATGCCAGGGAGTCCCAAAGCGATGCCGCAGGAAGACCCCACTAACCGCTGGATCATTACCACTGTGGATGGACGAAATCCATTTCGCACCCCCTGGAATGATGATTGATTCCCCTGTTAAATACCAACAAACCATGGTGCCCATGGTTTCAAAGCGGCGCAGGAGTTCGTCCATCCACAGTACGGGGGTGTCCCGCTATAATTAGAGGAGGATCTTCAGCTAAGAAAACACCTGAAAAGATAACCTTTATTTTTCCGGGATTGATCCTAAAATCGGCTGTGGTCAAACCATTCCCCGCACCGCACATGCTGGGTGCCTGCAAGCAGCTATCATCTCTCTCTCCCTTTCTCTACCTCTCTCTCTTTCTCTCTCTGAGCAAACTCAACATTGTTGCAGAAAATCCGCCTTTCAGCAACACCCTTCGGTTGAATTCTTGATCCTCAGGGCTTCATCGCTTTCGAGGAATCGCATTCCCTCCGTACGGCAAGTGGCCATGTACTACCGAGGCGCCATGCAAAAGGCGCCATCCATGGGGCCGGAAAAGAGCAAGAGGCGGAGCAGTGCCAAGCGAGTGCCCTCCTGCAAGATGAGCGTCGATTTTGGAGTTGGCTCATGCCACAATTTATTGGGAACCCAAATTGAGGAGATAGGTCGGAGAACTCCACTAAGTGACCCTGATGTCGAAATCAATCCCTGCCTTCTTGCTCTTGTTGTCAAGATGCAGCTAGATTGAGGGGTCACATACAATATTTTCAAACTCTTTAGGAATTGCTTTTAATACTTCATCTGCGATATATCCTATATGAGTTTTACCACCATCATTTCTATCGTGTCTTTTAAACTTCTTCGGTTTAAATTTCTTAATGACATTCATACAATTATATTTGATATTGACTATGTCGTATTTCAATCGTGAGTCACTTGAATCAACAAATGTTCCATTAATCGTCACGGTTGTTGCTGTTAAATCTATATTAGTTCCTGTTGATGGTTCTAGTGTATTACATAGCAATTTCGTTCCTAAAACTGATACATTTTCATTAAAAGTTGATGGAGCATTATTTGTAAAACTTCCAGTATTCACTGTCGTTCCAAATGTCTTATCAATAGATAATAAAACAGAAGGTGTAGTTGAACTATCTGCTACTCTAAACGCAGTGTTTGATGTTCTGAATATTACATCAATTGTAGATAAACTAGTTCCATCGTAATAAGTTGATATTTCAATCGTTCCCATCTTTATGTCTGTTCCAGTAGTCATTGAAATATTATTCAAAAATGAAACCGTTGTTAAATCAAATGATTGAATGGTATTAGTTGCTAAATATGCATTTTGAACTGCTAAGTTAGTATCAACGGTTACTAATGTTCCACCATTAGGCGCTATATGATTGCTTCTTAATGCTCCATTAGTTTTAACATAAACATCATCAGCAAATAAATTACCCATAAAATCAGCAGTAGCAGTATTAAAAGTCCATCCGCTAGAAATATTAACTGCTCCAACTATATTAGATTGAACAGCAGGGTCTCCACAAATGAACCTAATTGAAGAATTAGCGTCAGTATTTCTCATATCAAAAGATGAAAAAGCACTAACATATCTGTATAATTCACAATTTGTATCAATTGTTAATTTACCATCAGTATCAATATTAAC